CTAAAATGAGCTGGGTGTCCTGGCACATGCTTGTAATCCCAGTTGAGGCTGAGGCAGGAGAAGTGCTTGAACCCAGGAGGTGGAGGTTGCAGTGAGCAGAGATCATGCCACTGCACTCCAGCCTGACAACAGAGCAAGACTTTGTCTCAAAAAAAATAAATAAATAAATAAATTAGGGCCCTATTTTTATAACTGCAGAAGTTTGAATCCCACCACCAACCAGTGAATTGGGAAGAGGAGCCTGAGCCTCAAGTGAGATTGTAAACCCAGCTAACATTTTAAGTTCAGTCAGGTGAGACCCTGAGCAGAGAACATACTAATCTTTGCATAGACTCCTGATCCATATAATTATGAGATTATAAATCTATGTTAAGCTTTAACAAATATGGCTTTAAGCTACTAGGCTTGTGATAACTTTGTTACATCATATTAGGGATGCTTTCTCTGGTGAAAATATTTTAATGATTGAGAGTAGGATGGCGAAGTGGGTAGGACACTCCAGCCTCTTCCTGATGAAACGCTTAAAAGGTAATACACATGAGAATAATCTCTGTTTTCCATAAGCAATTTTGCTTTGACAGTTTCCCCCACCTCAAATATACATGTCTATGAAATAACTATGTGAATATTACCACCTGGAAGATATGATAAAAGCTCTTCTTTTAAAACAGTTAATATCATAACTCTATCAACTATCTCAAAAGAATCTTACTGCCCCAGAAAAAGACAAGACATTTGAAGCCAAAACAAATCTCTTCTGTTTAGATCCTCATCCAAAAGAGATCAGAACATAACTTCCATGATGATCAATGAAACAGTACTTAAATTTTATGAAATAGAACTCCATAATCTTTAATATTGAATTTATTTGTATCAGATTCTAGTGTAGATGCCAATTTCAGATTTAGCTCTTTCATTTCCCAAAACACATTATAAACACACATACACACACTCACACACGCAGGTACACACAGATTCCTTTTTCTCTTGGAAGAATTCATAAAATCTAACTACTTAATTAGAGTAATAAATAAATAAATATAATACAATTAGATTACTTACTAGAACTAGTAGTATCTTAGTATCATTTCACATGTCACTAGATGTGAGAAAATACTTTATCCCTACATGTCTATCAGTACCCCTGTCACTACTAAATACATTCTCTTTCTGGCCTTGAAGAGGAAAAGTACACACAACAGGGCTTGACAGGGTCTTGGCAGGGCACAGTGGCTCATGCCTGTAATCCCAACACTTTGGGAGACTGAGGTGGGTGGATCACTACTAAATACTCTACTAAAAATACAAAAATTATCTGGGCATGGTGGCATATGCCTGTAATCTCAGCTACTCAGGAGATTGAGGCAGGAGAATCACTTGAACCCTGGAGGAGGAGGTTGCAGTGAGCCGACATCGCACCACTGCACTCCAGCCTGGGTGACAGAGTGAAATTCCATCTCAAACAAACAAATAAAAATATACAAAGAATACTTACAACTCAACAAAAGAGAACAAACAGCCCAATTAAAAAATAGGCAAAAGACTTGAGCAGACACTTCACTGAAGGCATGAAAATGGGAAGTAATTGTTAAAAAGATGTTCATTTTTTTTTCATGTCTCTATTATTAAGCACAATTATAGGCATACCCATTTTTAGACTGCATTCTAGCCCGGGCAATAAAGCAACACCCCCGTTCCCTTTCCCTCTTCCTCTTTCTCTTTCTTCCTCTCCTTCATTCTTTTTTTTTTCTTTCTTTTTTTTTTTAATAAAAAAAAAAAACTTTCCTGAATATCATTATTTTTAGAACTAAAGAAAAACTGTACACGAATGGGCAGTCAGACCAGGCTTTGGATAAGAACCGTTAAGTCAATTAAAACACAAATGCCTCCTAGGATAATACCTATTTTATGAAAGACCCTAAGTTGTGAACACATAAGCCCCTGCATTCCATTCCTTTTATACTGAGAGAAAAAAATAAAACAAAATAAAAAGATGTTCAATAACATACTTCATTTGGGAATTGTAAATTAAAAAAAAAATTAGATGCCACGACACATCTCTTAGAATGACCAGTCTAAAACATGGACCACACCAAATACCCGCCAAGTTGTGGAGCACCGGGAACTCTCAGTCAGTGTGATTGCAACCAGTACAGCCACTTTGGAAGACAGTTCATCATCTTTGAACAAAACTAAGTATACTCTCACTAAATATCCAGAAATTGCTCTCCTTAGTATCTACTCAAAGAAACTGGAAATTTAAATCCAAAAACATATTTTCTCAAGGATGTTTATAACAGCTTTATTTATTATTGCTAGAACTTGGAAATAACTAAGTAGGTAAAGTACAAATACATTGTGGTACATGAAGACAATGGAATATTTAGCATTAAAATTAAATAAGCTACTAAGCCATAAAAAGACATGGAAGAAGTTTAAATGCATATTATTAAGTAAAAGAAGTCCATCTGAAAATGCTATGTCCTATATTATTTCAACTATATGACATTCTGGAATACACAAAATTATTCAGACAGTAAAAAGAAATTGGTGGTTGCCAGGGGATAGATGAAAGGGATAGATTAATAAGCAAAGCACAGAGGATGTTCTGAGCAGTGAAACTATTATATATGATGCTACAATGGTGGATATATGTCATTATACATGTATCAAAACTCATAAAACACACATCACTAAGCATGAACCCTAACGTGAACCATAGTTGATAATAATGTGTTATGAATCCTAATGTAAACTATGGACTTCAATAGTTTAATAATAATATGATGTGTAATAATTATGTGGAAATGTAGATTTATAATTGTAATAAATATACCCCCCTGGGGGTGGATATTGATAATGGGAGGGACTATGCAATGGGGGGGGGGGGCTATGCATATGTGGGGGAATAGTATACATGAGGAATCTCTGTACCCTTAGCAGATTTTTTTTTTTTTGAGACGGAGTTTCGCTCCTGTTACCCAGGCTGGAGTGCAATGGCACGATCTCGGCTCACCGCAACCTCCGCCTCCTGGGTTCAGGCAATTCTCCTGCCTCAGCCTCCTGAGTAGCTGGGATTACAGGCACGCGCCACCATGCCCAGCTAATTTTTTGTATTTTTAGTAGAGACGGGGTTTCACCATGTTGACCAGGATGGTCTCGATCTCTTGACCTCGTGATCCACCAGCCTCAGCCTCCCAAAGTGTTGGGATTACAGGCGTGAACCACCGCGCCCAGCCCCCCTTAGCGGATTTTTTTTTTTTTTGGCAACTAAAGCTGTTCTAAAAATAAAGTCTATTCAAAATTAGGAGTGACATTTTTATAAAATGGAAAAGTATAATACTGAAAATTCTAGCTCATATATGAATTAACATTTATCAGGTTGATTTATTAGTAACTAGGGGCTTTGTAAAGACTAAGGAATAGGAACATAATTCCTGTGAGAAGAGATACATAAAGGCTTATTCTGATCTGTGCTGCTGGTACATTTAATGGGTCCAATTTCTTCTTATTTTGAGACAAAAGTTTAGAGAGGTTCAGGTCTACTTAGCCCTGATCCTAAAAGTTCTCTGAAAATTGCTATCTATTAAAATATTTAAAGAGAAAGAACAAGAAAATTGTTAAGAAAAGTTATGAGTTAGTAAAACAATATTTTACAGACATAAGAAAATTCATCTCAGAGTAACATATGTAACATATATAACATATACATAAAAAGAATCACGTTAGGTACACACACACGCAAAAGCTGAAAATTCAAGAAATAGTTATAATGGAATATCTTACATCTATTGAGTACATTTGATATGCTAAATCTTGTACTGAGTGCTCTACATGGACTGATTTATATAATTGTTAATGGAAAACCCCTGAGTAATGCCCGTTACTGTTAAACTTTGTCATTGAGGATTTGAAGCACAGAGATATAATGTAATTTATCCAGGATTATACGAGTAATAAGTAGTAGGTCAAGAATTTAACAAGCAGGTCAAGGCATTGGAGTTCCAGAGTCTCTGTTCTTATTCAATGCTCTGTTTGCCTCTCAACTAAATAGTTAATTGTGAAATGTGAATAAAATAGCTCTTTCTCTCATCAAAAGAAGTATTAAGATTATATCTGAAGACAAAAGGCACTTTGAGTTGTAGAAAGGGGCATTGTAGATGTTGAGACTGAGGGAAATTGAACCAACTAGTGAAAAGATATAATGATTTTGAAGGTAAATTGAGAAGTAAAATAATCCTCAGAGGAGGGTAGATAATCATATAAAAGTAGCAAATTGTGTACAGTGGATAAAGTTTGGAATAAATGTAATAAATACAAAAAGTATTTTTAAAAAGAAGAGTGGTGCTTGTTTAAGATAGATAAAACAGAGCTTGTATAGAAAATAGACTGATTTAAGAGGACTGACTGTTGGTATAAACTTAGACGCTGGGACCAGAAGAAGCTTAAGATTTTCCTAAAAGTAAGTGTCGCAGTCCTTTTATTTAATATTTGTGATATAGAAATCTGCAAGTGAATGTCTCTATTAACATCTAATTCAATTCCAAAGAATGAGTGAAATTGGTACTACAGGAGAGATAAGGCTGATATTTCATTTATTTTAATTTAATTATAACCTAGCTGACTATGAAAGGCAGATAGAATGTGAAAATAATAAAGAAACAACAGATAGCAAAAGACTATCAACAGAGTGAACAGACAACATATGAAATGGGAGAAAATATTCACAAACTATGCATCTGACAAAGTCTAATATGCAGAATGTATAGGAAGCTTAAACAATGAACAACCGGAAAACAAATAACACAATGTTTTAAGAAAATGGGCAAAAGACATGAATAGATAATTGTAAAAAAAAAAGACATATAAGTGGCCAAAAAATATATGAAAAACCTGCTCCACATTGCTAATCATCACGTAGATGTAAATCAAAACCACAGTGAGATATAATTTTATATAAGTCAGAAAGACTATCATTAAAAATCAAAATATAACAGACATAACAGATATTGGTGAGGCTGTGGAGAAAAAGAAGCCACTTATACAGTGCTGGTGGGAAAGTCAATTAGTTCAGTAACTGTGGAAAGCAGTTTACAGATTTCTCAAAGAACTTAGAACTACCAACCAACCAGCAATTCGATTACTGGTTATATACCTTAAAGAAAACAAATTTTTCCACCAATAAGACACATTCACTTGCATGTTCATCATAACACTACTCGCAATAGCAAAGACACAGAATCAACCTAGGTGTGCATCAATGTGCAATGGGTAAAGACGATATGGTACATATAAACCATGAAATATTACACAACTATGAAAAGGAATGAAATTATGTCATTGGCAGCATCATAGCTGGAGCTAGACGTCATTATCTTAAGTGATTTAATGGAGAAACAGAAAACCAAAGGCTGCATGCTTTCACTTATAAGAGGGAGCTAAACAGTGGGTATTCATGGACATGATGACCGCAACATTAGATGCTCAGGACTATAAGAACAGGGAGAGAAAAAGGGCAAGGGCTGAAACTATTGGGTACTATACTCAGTACCTGGGTGACAAAATCAAATTGCACCTCAAACCTTACCATCACATAATACACCTAGGTAAAAAGCCTGTACATGTTCTTCCTGAATCTAAAATAAAAGATAAAATTATGAAAATAAAAAATGAGGCATATTCAGAAAGCATTCATCTAAACAGCATAAACAGAAAATTAAAAAAAAAATCAAAACAATTAGTTTTCTACAAAATTGTGACAGTATACAACATTTTTTAAACCCAAAGAATATATCAAGTAAGGAATACGATTGTCCAAAAATTAATTTGAAAGGAAACAAGAAAAAGCAAAGGAGAAGTAGGAAAAGGAGGAGGAAGAGGAGAATGACGAGGAAGAGAAGGGAAGAGAGGAGGAGAAGAACAAATGGAGGGATATCAGAAAAGAAGTGGAAGTTTTCAGGGGAAAAAATAATACCAAAAGAAAATCTTATGAAGTAAAAACTCCGTTGAAAATAGCAAAAATTGAGTCAATATGAATAGGAACTTATAATATCCCAACATATACACTTATAACAGGCTATGGTTAATTTTGTGTGTCAACTTCACTAGGCTATAGAGTACCCAGATATATGGTAAAACATTTTTCTGGGTGTTTCCTGAGAGGTGTTTTTTGATTATATGAAGATTTGAATCAATAGAGTAAAGCATATTGACCTCCATAATATGGATGAAACTGTTTAAATCAATTGAAGGCCTGAATAGAAAAAAGAAGACTGACCCTCCCCAAAATAAAAGGAAAATTCTCTAATAGACTGGCTTTGGACATCTGCACCATTGCAGCGCTGGATCTTACCTGCCTGCCTTCAGACTGGAATTGTACTTTTCAGCTTTTCTGGATCTTGAGCCTACAGTCTCACCCTGCAGATACAGATATCCTAGTTTTCACAATCACATAAGGCAATTCCTCATAATAACTGTCATCTGTCTAACTCTCTCTCTATCTCTCTTTGTCTCAATCTCTATTCCCGGTTGATCAAATAAAAAGGAAAACGTTTAAGCTTGTTATAGTTCTGACTAGAATAGAATAAATGGGCATGCGATTTACCTCCTTGCAAAAGTATCCACCATATTACTGTACAAAATGTATGCATCAACTGGCTTTGTTCATTGAATAACAGAAAACAGAAGGTTGTGATCCTACAGAGACAGGGTCTGATTCAAAACAGTTTTGTACATGGAGCACTTTTCAAACCACAGCACAGGAAGTGGAACTTCATCACATAGCAGTGGTCTTGCTGAGTAAGTACAGCTCAGAGGTTGGGGCTGTTGGGACATCTAGAATTTGAGGGACAGTTAACCAGAGAAGGGGAAAGTCAGCAAATCCCAAAAACTGCTTCCCTCAGCCTGTATCTCAATATTAAGTTGCACATATAAAGAACAACATTCTGAGAGGTCAGGCAGAAAATAGTCCTAGAGACCGGTGAGTAAAATAGAGATTACAAAATTTATGCCAGTGAGACAAAAGTTATACAAGGCAACACTGGAGATCTGATGATATAAATTCAAGTCACCTTGCTGTAGAACACACAGTTTTTTCAAGCTTATATGGGGCATTCACACAGATGGACAGTCGTTTGAAAAGTAAAATAAGTTTGATAAATTTCTGACCAAAATTAAGTTAGAATCAACAATAAAAGTATTTAGAAAATCCTCTAATAGTTGAAAACTGTGTAATAGTATTCCATATAATCATAATGATTATATGAATAATAATCATTCCTAATAAAGATCGTAATAGCTGAATAAATGAATTACAAGAATATAAAAATATTCTGAACTTCATATGAACATATCAATCAAAATTTGTGTGATGGTTAAAGGAATTTTTAGAGCTTGAAGACTTTATATTAGAAAATAAGAAAATATTAAATCAATGGACAAAAGTTTTTATCACTAGATGCTGGGAAAAGTAAATTAAACCTAAAATAAATTAAAATGTGAAATGAATATACATAAAAGCTGAAATTAATAAAAGAAAAATTATAAGAGACATAGCAACGAAATTAAAACCAAGTGGTTTGAAAAGGTTCATAAAACTGATAAAAGCCTGGCAGACTTAAAAAAATCACAGTAATTATTTTTTGAGTTGCAATTTCATTTTTTGGTTCCTTTCAAGTTCACAGATTATTGGTAGAATTATCAATATTACAAATAAAAGAGGGGACATTAATACAGATATTACGGATATTAAAAGGTAATAGAAAACATATACAATTTTATAATTACTAATTTTACAGCTTAGAAGAAATGTATAACATTTCATAAAATACATGAATTATCATACTGGCATAAAAAGAAATAGAAAGTCTGAAGTGCTCTGTATTAATGGACAATTAATACAGTGAAAAAAATTTTTCTTCCAAGAAAAAACAAAAACTTTCATTTGAAGAAAATTTTAGATCCAGATATCTTCACAAGTAATTTGTTTTAAATGTTTAAAAAGGAAGGAATGCCAGCATTGTGCAAAATTATTCAGATAATATAGGAAAAAACCTTCCCCATGTCATCAAATGGCACCATTGGAACACAGTGCTTAAACTAAGACTGAGCAGATACATTACATTCAAGGACAGAAAGATTCAATATGTTTAAGGTGTGCATGTCACTCAAATTGACCTAAATATTTAAAGAAATCCTATGCCAAGTTCACTGGGCTCTTATGAAGTTCACCTGACTCTTTTCTGCTGAAGAATATTAACTGTAAACATTTTAGATTAAATGAAAATTTTCAATTCTTGTTAGGAATTTAGAGAAAGTAATCAGTATATATATATATGTATGTGTGATATATGAGTGTGTGTATATGTATGTATTGTTTGTTACAGAGTACAACAGAGACTGTATGCAGAACAACATTGCTTTGAAGTTGCTTTGAAGAAAATCAGGCATAAAATTAAGTGAGCTAACCAGGATAGGGCTGAAGAAGAATTTTAGAAGAATCAAATCGATTATGGATGAAGGAATTTGGATCTGCACTCCCAACTCCACTACTACTTAGTGCTGTAGCAAAATGTAAAGTAAAAGACTATAAAGCACACAGTAACTGCCCAGCACATAGTAAACTAACTTTTAATAAATATTGTTATCATTACTAATATTAATGTTGAACACAAGAATGAAGGCTACAGAGTTTTAAGAAACTGGGTAAGGTCATTACAGTAAATGAAAGATGCATTTAAAGACTCAACCTTTGGAATGTAGCTGGTGTTTTAGGACCACAGTGAAGCTCCTTTCCCTGAGTTCAGCTTGCTCATTAGCTTGTCTTTTACCAAAATTTAACAAAAGCAGAGAAACAGATGGAGTAAGTCCATTTGCATTCACTGAAGCCCATGCTCTATCTACCAATATCAATAAACTCATGTGATGGTTTATTCAAAATTCTGCAGAGAAAACAAGCTAACCTTCACATAGAAGGCCTTCTGCAAGATTTTATTTATATTATTCTCTGATCCAATCAAAATAATTAAAAATTATAAAAGATATTTTACATTTTGGTAACTCAAATTTGAATATAAACTTTGTTTTATTTGTTCTTTTACATCAAGTAATTAAAGACTAAAAATTGACTTATTTTGAATGGAAAGATAGAGTAAGGAAAATAAAAATTTGTTTCATTTTTTTTTCCATAAGGAAAACTTTTATCTTCCACAGCTCAATCCTTGCCTCTTGGAAAAGCCAAATCTCCTTACCTCTTTCAGTAAGGCATTAATACCTGTTGTGAAAACCCTTTACCAATGCTAATTGTTCCAGCAAGCAGTGAAAGGGGAACAGCAGGCCCAGGGGTTATATGTGAAGACCTACAATACAAAGAAGTTCTATACTTCATGGACCTCTAAGCATGCCGCTAAGCCTCCTGATTACAAAAAGTACAGCGTGCCACTAAAAGGCATCAAGATCTCCTGAAGACAATTATAATGCATATAACATCTGTTCTCAATCATGGGCGACAGGAGAGAAAATGTGCACCGCATGATACGTTACATACGACAAAGAAGTCCAGCTGTGTGAAGAAAGGCATGTGAAAACGCAATGGCTAAGAAAGAACAGTGTCGAGTGAGCATTGTATAATGACAGTGACCCATGGTGATCTCTTTGAGTGCCTCTGTGGTGCCAAGATCTGTTTGTTCTCTTACAAAAAAAAAAAAAAGGCCACCTGTGACATCGTCAATTATTGGTACTTTTCATAAAGCAGTAGTATTTACAAGATAATTTGAATGTAACAGTTCAAATAACAAACTAAAAGTGCTACATAGAGCAAAGTGTTTTCTTAGCCCTTAGTTCTAATAGGATCAAAAATGCCTTTATCTCCTTTTGGAAATCTGTGTCACTCCAAACCATTTTTATGTAATTTGAAATACAATTTTAATAATCTTATAATAACTATTAATACAAATAATGTCAAAAATAATAATTAGGAAAAATTATGCCACCATTTACATATCTGGCTTCATTATTTCTCTTCCTCTCTCATTTTATCAGGCTCCAGTCAGACTGCCTCCTTGTTCTTCCAGCATAGTGCGAATCTCCAAGTGGGTGTTCCTATAGGCTAATTTTGCCTAGCTGGATGGTATTTACCAATTGTCCATAAGCCTTGCTTCCTCAAGAGCTGCACACATTTACTATCATACTGCCATCAGAGGAAGGTAAGTCTGATTAAAACAGAACCCATTACACGCCCATCCTGTTCCTCATTTATTATTTTCATAGAGGGCTAGTTAGCATCTAGTATAATATTTTCCTGGTTTTTCATTTTGTGTATTTACAATTTTTTTTCCTGGAAAATGTAAGCTTTGTGAATTACGAGATTGGGGCTCTTTCGTTCAATGCTATCTACCTAACACAATAGTGCATT